TGACAGCACTTCAGGCTGGCACTGAGGACACCACCAGGTAAGTCTCTTGAAGCCACCCGAGGGCCCAAGGGCTCCCTTCATCAGCACGTGCCCGAGGGGACACTGCTCCTTCTGGTGGATCTGAGGGTGCAGCCGCTGGCCACGCAGCTTGCTGTGCAGCCACTCAGAGCTGAACTCCACAGCACAGTCAAGCAGATGCTCCAGGTCTGAGAGAGCCAAGAGAGAGCCTGGTGTTAACGGGTGGATCTTGGCCAGGTACAAGATCTCATTCTTAATGATGTTCCCTGGAAAGGGTCAGAAACAAGGAGACAATAAGAATATTACTCATCAAGATGATGCAATCATTGTCCCCAGCAAGATGACCATGACTTTCAACCAGAACCAATAAAGCTGAGGAGTAAAAGGCTCAGACACGCAGCTCTGGTCTGTAGACATCCCACCCACCTTTGCCCACCCCTTGCTCCACCCTGGAACTCACCAAGCCCTGAGAAATATCTTTGGTCTAAGAGGGTGTAGCAGATGGGATTGGGTGCACGGAGAGCGTCCAGCGCCCGGCCACGGTGGAACTCCACGGACAGGATGTCAGAAGCAGGATCAGCCCTCGGTGCTGAGCACCACTGCATTCGGCAGTTGTAGAAAGCCAGGAAGCCTCCACTCTGGAAGTGGAGAACCAGCCTGGGAGAAGCAGAGAAGCTGAAGTGAGAAGCACCTCTGAAATGCTTGTTGTGTTCTGCTCTGGCTGAAGAAACCAGCATGGGAAACAACCAACTAATTTTGGTTGGACTTGATTCCAGAGGTCTCTTCCAACTGTTCCCCCAGCACTGCCAGGTCCACATGGAACCACATCCCTCAGCACCACATCTACATGTCTGTTGAATCTCTCCAGGGATGGGGACTCCACCACTGCCCTGGGCAGCCTGGCACAGCCCTGGACAATCCTTTTGAGCAAGACATTGTTCCTCATGTCCAGCCTAAACCTCCCCAGCACAACTTGAAGTAATTTCTTCTTGTTGTGTCACTTGGGAGCAGAGCCCAACCCCCCCCTGGCTCCAGGCTCCTGTCCGGAGCTGTGCAGAGCCAGAAGGTCTCCCCTGAGCCTCCTTTGCTCCAGGCTCAGCACCCCCAGCTCCCTCAGCTGCTCCTC